CTTTAGTAGTTCTATTTTTTGGGTTGTGGGACATGACCGTGGTGTCCGAGTCTCCTGTGTGTCCTCACACACTGAGGGACACAATCCTCACATAGTCCTCATTTGTTGGGTCATTTAAATGTGTAAATCCCCCTACCCAAGATTCAGTTTCAGGGAAAAAAGCACTTCGATACAAGAACAAACAACTATAAGGCACCACAGAGCATCTATATTTCACATCCTGAGCTTTGAAAGCTGATTTTTTTAAATAAAATGTGCTTCCTTTCAAAGTGAGCTCCTTTAAATCACAGAGATCACGTTTCCGTAGGAAGAGGAGCAACTTCAAATGCCAACGCATTGCAGAGGAAAGTGAGGAATATTTTAAAACCCATGGGGTTCCCCATGTTCCCAGTGCACAGATTTAAGCCATGTTCCCATCCAGCTGACTGAACTGATGGGTAGAACCTGACAGAGAGAGAGAGAGAAACGGAAAGAATGAAAGAAATTCAAGGACATAAAGGATTTAAGGACAGAATAAAAGACAGAATGAAAGCGGTGGGTGGCGAAAGATAAAGCAGCCTTTGTATATTTTCAAATGAAAGACCACAGAGACTTGCATTAGCCTTGATACCGTTTAAAAATGTAAAATAGTAAACCGAGGTGACAAAATATCACTGTCAGCAATGAATACAACACGCTAAAACAAAACTCATTATGTCTGTTAAATATCTGGGCTAAAATAAATAAAGAGCCTTTATCCACAGGCAAATCCTATTTTTAGATGGCAAATGCCACTATGGATTAGCGTCAACTTGTGGCATGTACTGCCCCTTGCTGACTGAAGCAGACGCTACATAATACAAAACACAAGTGGAATTGAGAAGAGCAGAAGTCTTCAGCCTTTCTAGACCCAGGACCCCTTGGTGGAGATGGAGCAGGGACCCCTGTTAAAGGAATAGTTCAAGCCCAAAATTAAAATTCTGTCTTCACTCACCATCCATTTGTTTTAACCCTGTATTTGTGTCCTTCTTCGGTTGAACACAAAAGAAGATATTTTGAAGAATGTTGGTAACAGTTGATGGCAGCCATTGACTTCCACAGCATTTTTTTTTTTAGTCAATGGCTACAGTCAACTGTTTGGTAACCAACATTCTTCAGAGAATATTCCTAATGTATTGATATACTTTTACGTTTTTTTTTGTTGTTGTTGTTGTTTTATGTGGGACAGACATTAAACATTTAGCTGAACTTTAGCTTTAGTTGAAAAAAAAAACATTAATGTTTAGTGCACATTTAATACGCACAAAATAAAATAAAATAAAAATAATTGAAATAAAAAAATAAAAAAAATGCCAGACTGCTTTTTGAAGACCATTAAAATATGACACAGGGTCCTTCAAAGTTATCAAAGACAACACATGATCAGGTGATTGTATTATTAATGGGACTACAGTCAAGGACTGTTGACAGGGTCAATATCCGGTTTTCTTCCTGAAAATACACACACTTTTTTATGGAAAACCATAAAAATCTTAACAATGACCAGATAATTATGTCTCTATGGTAACCACAAACTACACTGAATAGTTATCAGCAAATTAACTTGTAAAAATGTAAAAACATTTTATAACAGTAGCTATGCTGACACCTAATGGTCAACTCAGATATTTTAGATGTTTGCACATCATGTCAGCGTGCTAAAAAGGATGAAAAAATATGTTTTCCTTTAGAATTCACTTTTATTTCTAATGACATTATATAAATGGATAATTAAAAGCATTTCAGTTGAACAGAATCTACCACACTCCAAGGAAAGTCTGTAAAAGGTGTTAATATGAAATCATTTTCCACATTGATTTTTCACAGGTGTTTTTACCAATATTTTAAATTATGTACTGCATGTTTTAGGGTTGAATTAAGTTTTTGTCATCTTAACAGACAATGTCCTGGCAGAAATTTACTAGTACCTTTTCCGTTTTTTAATGCAGTACAAATAAAATCTTCTGTTTAATATGTAAATACCATCACTACAGTAATTACCAATACACCTGCTCTCAGTATCCAAATTATCATGTTCCAACATAAAATCGAACAACTGTTACCTACTCCATCTACACTACAGTTCAAAAGTTTGGGGTCAGTAAGTTTTTTTTTTTTCTGTTTTAAATAAATAAATAAATATGTTTATAAAGAAAGGATGCATTAAACTGAACAAAAGTGACAATAAAGACTTTTACATTGTAACAGAAGGATCATGTAACACTTAAGACTGGAGTCTTAAAAAATCAGCTTTAAAGTCACAGGAATAAACTACATTTTAAAATAAATAAATAACAGAAAACAGTTAATCCAGTCTTGGTGAGCGTAAGAGACTTCTTTCAAAAATCTTACCAATGCCAAACCTCTGAAAAGCAGTGAGAATGTCTACAAATACTTCTTACCAAATTAATCAATTCTTTCTGTATATAAAAGAAATTCCCAGAAGTGTGCTGAATAATCAACCAAGTCCAGGCTAGAATTTGATGAACAGTCAGCTTTGTGTGCTGCATCAATGTGACTTGGTCCTGTAGCCTTTTGTGCAAAAATAAATATCACTGTATAACCTTATATGCTACAGGTGCACTTTTCAAATTTATTATCAAAATTATGCTAGTGAAAAGACCACTGTAAAATATGTGTAGAAGGAAGGAAACACCTCATGTTTGGAATGGATCTGCTCACTGAGGGGAGAACCGTGTTGACAGGGTGATAGACAGCTTACACAGGCTGTAGCTAGTAATGGAGAGCTGACACTGACACATGAGGCCTCACTCTCGACCATTCTGACCGACTCTCACCCAGTCAATGTTTAAAAAGTTGCTGGCTTTGGGTAACAGCCCAAAGAGCACAGCCCTGACTCACGTTGCACACTGGAATACTGGCATGGTGCTTTCTTAATATTGTTGCTGTCTTTAAGGTACATTTTCTCATTTGTTAAACTAGATGAAATCATCTTTGAAATGTCATTTTCCTGGTTTGATCTATGTTGAAGCCATAGATCAAGGAATAGTTTCAAAAACAAAAATTCTGAGATAATTTACTCACCCTCACATCGTTCCAACCCTTCATGAAAAATGGGGGCAAAAACAAAAGTGTTGCGTTTATAATTTTGTTCAGTGTATATATGGAAAATAAGATATTTAAATTCCTTTTTTTTTCGTCACTTGACCATAAAATAAGTTAATGGGGTCTAATGTTGCCTTTATTATACAGAAAAGTTGAAACAGTCTTCAAAATATCATTTGGTGTTCCAAACAACAAAGAAAATCAGCTTTGGAATGACACGAGGGTGAGTAAGTGATAGTATTTCTATTTTTGGCTGAACTATCCCTCTAAATGTCTGTTTTTATTCATCTGGCTCATTGTAAAATGTCAGGTAGAGTTCATTCATTCATTACTGCGCATTGTTTCACATTAACTGATGAATACGCTTCATCAGTCACAGGATAAGATTATCCCTGCTGTTTAACCTTGCACAGCATCCCGCTGTGCAGCTAGTGAATTGCTGATGAGAGTCCCTTCACTGCTGCTGTCAATCACAATCACTGTGTGAATGTAAACAGGAGAAACTGTCGAATAAGAGATGGCAGAACAGTACCACAACTGACAATCTTTCCAAGAGCCTCTGCTGCACCTAAAAGACATCATACTTGACTATACGAGAAAGAAAGGCTCTGATATCAGTCAGCATCCTGCCAGCTGATAAGGCCAGATGCAGCACGGTACGCAACACCTCAGATTACACCACACCACAACAGACCAACTTCTCAAGCCACAAGGAGTTCTTGTTCTTACAGTTCCCAAAACATAAAGATTCACTGCTTGCAGTATTAACTCTGTGACAAAAGATTAGACACGATTAAATAGCAGTTTAAATGTACTAATACAGCCTGGAACAAAAATTAATTTCAGGGAACGCCCCATTAGCTAGCCGAGTCGAACGAGAGACACATGATGAGAACTGAAGCCCAGCTGATGAACAAATGAGCTCTAAATGAACGATCAACAGTAAAAATGATTTTCACATCGTATTAGCCCCGTCACAATGCTGATCTGCAGTTGCATTAAACACGATTGCGAAAGGTACCCTGTCAACAAATCAATTATGAAGTAATAAAGGTATTTGCAAAATACAGTTTCTACCATTGTAATAAGTGTCAACAATAAACAAGCATCTGTCACATAAAGTTGATAAAACACAGAATATGACTTACAAAGCAAACTAAGATAAGAGCAAATACATATCAAGGTCAACTGATCTGCTAGATAAGGCATTGCTCCACAGATGCCGGATTACTGGTTTCATAATGGCTCTGACAGTAATCCATACCATTGAAGAGAGGGCAGCAATAAAACAAACTCCACACTGAGCATGACAGACACCAATATAACAAACTGCTACGACAGTGAAATGCTGTATTAGACAATAAAGGCAAGCAATGTCATTTTCAAAGCAACCTTTTGAGTAAGTACTAGGAATATGTCTGCAGGGTTAGTCACAGACCATACATAATTCCAATATAACTTTTTGGTACAAAAATTAAGACAATTATTAATTATTATAAATTATGCTTAGTATAGTACTGTCAAATGCAAAATGCATATCACAGGGCCTGTCATCAGTCCATACTGCTGTACAAAGGCAAAATGCAGTAGCTACATATCTGGTCAAAACTAAAATCTGTAGATCTGTACTGTGACAGACAGGTTTGCTTTAAATCGCTAATTTAAAAAAAATAAAATAAAAAGGCTGTTTCAGTTACTGCCTTTGTGAGACCAACAAGGTAAAAGTGAACATTGTCATTGACCGTAAACAATGATAAGCACTTACACATCTTATTTACATTTTGATGATGCTTCACAGAAATATTCTGCACCTTAGCAAACTATATAAGCATTTAATCTATCCTCACTCAGACCTGGACATGAAGTGCAGTAGCTGTACACAAGTGTCCAACGAGACATATTGCGGTCTAAAGGTCATATGCACAGTTAGACTGCTCTCTTGGGGGGAAAAAAAGATCCAATTCAATATTCCCTTGTACCCGTTCTCCCCATCTGAAGCCACTCTTACAGGTTTTTAATTCCCATGCGTGCAACTAACTTTTTTTTGTTCTTCAATATTAGTGCATGTTATAAAAGAGTGAAAGACTAGATATGTAGCGCTGCAACCAACACATGATTAAAACATTTTAACAGGTTGTGCATATATAAAATTCAACAAGTTTTGTTTTAAATCTAAAAACATGAAATACGGATCTGGCAAAAGTTTTATCAGGACAGGGTGACATTGTCCAACAATGGAATTGAAGCCAGTCTTTTGGCTAAAAATAGCCTTGTACACTTTCTTCAGAAACACAGTACCTTTTTTCTCTTTTTAAACACCCCAGTGCTGAACATTGGGGTGGGGAACATTGGGAAGTGCTGACTCAGGCCCCCAAAACAGTTAAGAAGAGATGAACCGGCCTATTTTGACCCATCTGATTCACTGCATCAATGTAGCATTTCTGCCAAAGTGACTGAAATCTAACACACGGGTCCAAATGACGTACATAACACAGTTAACCAACACTCTCCGTTTCAATACAGAGTATAACGGTGGTCCTAACATATCCAGAGACCCTCTTTTGCTGCATTCTGCTGGTGGTTCTACAATTGTGTTTGTATCTACTGAATGTTATACAAAAAACATCAATAAAAGTGATACCATAGCAGATTTTTCAGCCACTTTGACCGCAAAGCAGCAGAGCATCCGATGAAGCCCTAAATTTCCCCCTTTTTTTATTCCCACAGAGTAAGGGGCCACACATCCTCTTGTGCTGAAGATCAAAGCCTCGTCAGTACTTATTAATTCCAAAGAGACGGACCCCGTGGAACTGAGGCAGTTTGGGGATAAGCACAGTGAGCAGGGAAATGGTGTTGATGATGAAGTGGACCCTGTCATACTTTGTATAGAAACTGGTCAGGAAATACCTGCAGAGGGGAAGGAAAAGATCAAGTCAGATGTCAGATAGCAACATGAGATGCACAGATACAGAGGCTACAGAAGTTGCTCAAGCAAGCACAGCATAAGACTGCATCTAATGGAAACCCAGGATGTGGTTTCTTCATGCTGCAACAGAATGCTTTTCATACATATAAAAAGATGATTATAATCAATATAAAATCAGATACATTTACTTTCTTAATGAACATTTTTCGTATAGTGCATGCTATTCTAAAGAAAAAACTGTTAATATGTAATATAACATAATATATAATATAATATAATATAATATATTTATTGAAATTCTTTTTACATCAGTACAGGCTATTAGATAATGTTATTACACGGCTCTATGGATAACTTGAGGTATTTAACATCCAAATAATTAAGGCTGGCGCATCGTTCACGTCTTTCATATTACACCAGTGCGCACTCTCTTGTTTTATTCAAACGCAACCGTTATCATCTTGAACCCCTGTTATTGACTGTATTTACTGTAAAATGAAACCTGCGGACTTCAGTAATATTGTTGAAGTGTTTGTCTTGTTGCCAGAATTATTGTTTTGTACGCTGTAAGGGATTTAAGATAATAAACAGATATGATTTTAAAACACTTTCTTCTCAAATAACATTTTATGTCCTCGAGTTTATTTTTGTGGTGAAAAGTAGTGTAATTAGTGAACTTCGTCTAGGCTCAAAGCTGTTTGTTAGGAACTGTTTCTTTGCGGAAGCTTTGCATTTAAAGAAGTAATAAAATATAACTCAAATCAATATTTCATTATTTACATATGTGCCAAGTAGCCGTGTAATAAGCAGGATAATGTACATCCAGACGGTTGTTATTGCAAAATAAACCCCTACAGGGTGACGCAAAAGCGCTCCGCTTCGTGTCAGGGTCTTGATCACCCTGTCTGGGTTTATTTTGCAAAAACAATCGATGTGCATTATTGTTATTATTACTTTTTTTATAGTATAAAAATACTTTTTTATTAGATGGAACAATTAAACTTGAACTGGCAACTAATTTAAATTGAAGTTGGAGTTTACTTAAATTGATTAAAGTTAAAGAGAAACAGAATAGGAAATATGGCAAAAGCTAGTTAGAAACATCAATAAACACCATAATTGTCACATGTCTGTTGTTTTCAGTTATGCCGAGTTCACACTGCACGATTTTAGCCCGATTTTTCACTCGCCGACAGGTTTTGCGAAATCGCCGACAAATGCCCGAAATCTGAGAAAAATCGGTGCTCGTTCACGCGAGTGACAATCACGCAGTGTGAATTATCAAAGACACGATCTGAGGGAGTCGCCGACGCCCGTGAGTCAGCAGGTTGAAGCGACCCCAATAACGTGATATTTAGGCCCTGGAATGTGAATTGTAACAGGAGAACCCCGCCAAAAAAATATGTATTTTTTGTATTTTACCCACCGAACGCAACACAACTAATAAAGGGAAGCTAATGACGATAATGATGACACACATCTGAACCAAATGAAACAATCAACCAGAGACAGAAACTAGGTCACAGGGGAACAGGCTAGATTTTCTAATTAAAATACCTTTTTGTTGATCTCCTTCGTCCTCGTGCGTTTGTACCTCACCAACGCGTAACAATAATAGTATATAAATAATACTAAAACAACACTGCTACTATGTAATGCCCACTTTTCAACATCAAATTCTCAAAGGATATAATCAACCCAGCTGAAAACAACATCTTATGATTTGCTGATCTCAGCTGCTCTCTCAGACTGGTCAGCCTGGTCTGTTGGCTGTTTTTAGAGGGGCTTGAAGTACTTTTCTGCTGGTCAGGCTAAGAGATTAACCCTAAACACCAGCAGTCCAGCTAGACCATCTGAGACCAACTTTAACAAGCTAAGACCAGCAAACAAGGCTGGTTTAAACAGGTTTTGTCAGCAGGGAAGTCTCACTCTACATTTTTTTCTTTTTTTGGTAAAATATCTTGTCACTTTGAAATACATCAAATTTTACAAAACATCACAATTTGTGACCCTGGACCACAAAACCAGTCTTAAGTCGCTGGGGTATATTTGTAGCAATAGCCAAAAATACATTGTATGGGTCAAAATTATTGATTTTTATTTTATGCCAAAAATCATTAGGACATTAAGTAAATATCATGTTCCATGAAGATATTTTGTAAATTTCCTACTGTAAATATATCAAAACTTAATTTTTGATTAGTAATATGCATTGCTAAGAACTTCATTTGGACAACTTTAAAGGCGATTTTCTCAAGATTATGATTTTTTTGCACCCTCAGATTCCAGATTTTCGAATTGTTGTATATCGGCCAAATATTGTCCTATCTTAACAAACCATACATCAATGAAAAGCTTATTTATTCAGCTTTCAGATGATGTATAAATATCAATTTTAAAAAATTGATTCTTATGACTGGTTTTGTGGTCCAGGGTCACATTTTTTCCTGAAAATAGAGGCAAGCATATTTTAAAATAAAAATTCAAGGTTTTTAAGGTCCTGTTTCATGTTACCAGTAAGAACGAAAGTAAAATCAAGACAAACCTCCTCGTCTCTCACTGTAACCGACAGATATACCCTCACAATATGAGAGAAGACAACATGAGAGAGAGAAGAAAAGAGCAAATGATCTGACTGACTGACTAACTGTTTCTAAATCCGGCTCTCCTTGCCAGCAGACACCACAGGAAGTCAGCATCACTGCCTCTTGCTCATGGTCATGCAGAGCAAGCTGTGAAAGCCTTCCCAGTGCGTGTGCAGAACACAACCAAAAGGGACAAATTAGCGTGACAGGCAGAATGAAGCTTCTAACAGCCCAGAGCAAAGGCGAACACTCTTACAGTATAATAGGGGTGATGGTGAGAAACTTTCGAGAGGCGGTGAACTGGACCCCGTAGTCCATCTGTTCCCAGTGGGTCAGAAGCCGGGCCTTTCCTTGGTCCGGAGTCTCAAACGGTGTTCCTTTTACCGTGTGTAGGAAGATATACATGCACTATAGCAGAAAGAGAGTCACAGAACATCATGACCTTTGGTACAATTCCTCAAAGTTCTCTCAGCAGATGTTGTGAAACTCTTAGGACAACAGCAAGAGCTGAACCATTTTGGCAGCAGGACGACTAAGAAAGGCGATACAGGATGGCTCTGTTAGTCCAACATTGGCTGAAATTACAGAACCTGGAGTCAGCAACTGAACGGGCCAAAATTCAGCAAGAAAAAATGTTGCCGTTTCAGAGTTTCTGCAGCTGGGGACTGTCACAAAACAAATGATTATTTTAAGCCTCTGCATCTTAAAAATCTCTTAAGAAAGCATATGTGCTACATTTACACTATGACACTAATGCAATGGTTTTCTGCAATGGCAGACTGTAAGCCAAAATGTGTCGCAGATCTGTTATGGACCAGGAAATAACAATGTTACTAACTACAGGAGTGTTTCTACTGTGGTTAACGCCTGTTCATAATTATAAAGATTTCTATAACAATAACGATTTTAGCATTCACATCAATGCATGGTAATGTTCTATTTATTAATTAGTTATGTTACCTGCTCTTTATAGTCAGGTGGATTCTGACTGGCTGTCAATGTTTTTATTTCTCATTAGCAGGAAAAAAAATGAAAGTGATTCCAAATATATTGTTCCTCTGTGTCGTTATCATTATAGCTGTGGACTTGGCTATTCTAACAGAATTAAAAAGTTTATTAAAACTTTATAGTTATCCTGAACAGGCCTTTTTGAAAGCAAAACATATACCAATAACCAACTTGTAGGAGGACAAATGCTTCCCATAACTTTTGCTGGATGTACAAAGCAAAAACTGCACAAATTCAACTGTCACTTAGAAGCTTGTCTAATTAGATGAATGGCGAACCATAAATAAACTACATAAAAGTTTTAAATATACAACATACTATATTAAATATAATATAAAAGTATGTAAAATAGTAATAAAAACATATATAAAAATATAATAGGATCACTTCCAGTGAGGACAAACACGCTTTGAGCAAAATAATTGTCCTTTATCACTTAATCACTGCATGAAACCATAGAAATTTTCCTATTCGGTCAATATGCCATGTTAATAATTTTGCATATTTTGGGCCAATGAAGTTCATAGTCATTTTTAATACATTTCAGAGCTTGATTTAAGGATAATTTTGGTACCTTTTTTTAACAATAAACAATTTTGGTACTGTGTTTGATCACGTAATATAGCAAAACAACAACCACTACGGATAAACTTTAGAGACTCGTGTAATTTAGCAGCTCTTACCAAGTTGTGGATAAGGTTGGTGAGGGTCCAGACCACAGGCACGCTGACGAAGGGTATGCTGAGCAATATGATGTGTAAGAGGCCGATGCCAAGCACATAGGAGAGCCATATACCCCTGCTGTTCATCACTCGTGTGTTTGGATTGACCTCACTGTGTGCCGTGCCCACGTTCATCCTCGCGCAGTAGAGGGACACTCAGAACTATTGCGTACTTACTGTCAGACACATGAGACACGTGTAAATACACATATGGGTCTAAAATTATACTACGTTCACTGACATTTAGACGCATAGACTATAAAAAGTCATACAACAAAATGTAAAGATAAGCATCAATATGCAGAGTGTGGAAAATCAACACAACTTCTGAAACTGTTCATTTGTTGTTATTTAAAATGGTAAGCGGGACGAAGCACGGGTCACGCAGAAACTTCACAGTACTTACGAACAAATAATAGCTCTATTTCCTCTGGCTGTAATTTGTTTCGCAAACGTTATCGAGATATCTTCCGTTCTGGAGCCCTTGTGCAATGTAGCTTTGCCGTTTTTCGCAACTTGACTCGTCTGTTTATTTCATCATGTTTGCTTTGAAGCACTTTGTTCCTGTGCAAAGTAAACAGATGGTGACAACACAGCAAGACTTCATCGTTTCACGTCATCGTTTTTTCAGAACTCACCTTTAGAAGGATGGAAATGTAGTCATCGAGGTAACCGCTGATTGGATTATGTGAGTCACGTGGAGGATGTCGCCCAATCAACGTTCGATGCGTTGTTAATTTTGTTAAAAAGGTTGCTTAACGTCACATAAAGTGCTTGCGAAAGAGATTAGGCGATTATGCAAAAATACTGAGATTTATGGGTATGGTAGTTTATTTAAACAAATTATTACCCACACTGTAGCAGTCTCAAATGTCTCATGTTTCTGTTATAAGTTGACCTGTAACAGAATTTCACAACACTGGATACTTTGTATTCCGCTATTAAAGTTGCAATGTGTTCATTGTATTAGTTCACCAAGTGAAAATTCTGTCATCATTGACTCTCCCTTCTTTTGTTCCAAAACTGCACGACTCATTTTCTTCTCTGGAACACAAAATGAGAAGTTATGCAGAATGTTAGGGACTAAGAGGCTCAGTCACCATACTATGAAAGTTCACATTTCATAGTATGGGGGGGGAATAATGCAATGTCGCTGAAAGATGACAAATGATGTCAGTCCCTAACATTCTTCCTGACTTCCCCTTTGTGTTCCACAAAAGAAATAAAGACAAGTTGGTATGGATCACTGTGAGGACGAGTAAATGGTGACAGGATTTTCATTTTGCTGAACTGTCCCTTTAAGTATCATCATATGTTGCATAACTCAAGTATTTATGATTAAAACATGTGAGATTGATCAATAGAGTGAAAAGGTATGGGATTAAACTATAATGTGTCATGTTTTACATTCAGAGGTAATTCGTTTTATTCATTTCTACTGTGCACTGAAAAATAAATATACCATGGGTGTTTCTGACACTGTTTCTGGGGTTATTTTTATTAAAACAAACAGATTTTTCTTCCTAACTTTTTGTTTGTTTGATTGTTTGTTTATTTATTAAATGAAGGTCACCTTGGAAACCCTTTTTTTCTAGATTATTTTTTTTCAAATGCCTTTCAAGTAAAGAGTTTGCTCCTTATCCGAGAATATCATACTATGAAATCTATAAAATAAATATGAATAATTGATCATCTATACGTGTGAAATCTAAAAAAGTTAAATGAATATAAACTTTAAAATATTATAATATTATAATAATTTATCAAATTAATAATATTATTTTTATTATGTGTATTTATGACAGATAAAATGCTAGCTCTGAAATTAGCTGCAGCATTTTATTACAAAAATGTTTATAATGTAATTTCCATCGCTGCCATTTGCACCACAGAATAATATTTTAATAATAATATAAACACAATGCATGATTTGAGATGTAATGAAAATTATATTGTGGTGGAAATGTTCTTTAACTTTCAGAAACATGACAAAAAAAGACAGTATTCTCTGATGTATGTGTGTTCACTTTTGGACATAGTTAGAAATTATTATTTTAAAGCCAAAAGTGTCCATAGTTTCAGAAATACCATTTATGGTCAGGCCAGTCGACTACTATGAAGATAATGTTGTTCTGAAGCTTTATCTATAGATGCTGCACACCTCAGTCACCTAAAACAAGATGAAATACTTTCACAATGAAAAACAGAGGATGTTTCGCAGTCATGCATAACCTAAAAGCTACATAACTGACTTAAAATTGTTATATTTGAAGAATTTGTAACAGGTATATTCATGAAGTCAGCTCATCATTGCAGTAGTCCTGTAATATTGCACAGCTCATTGTGGTATAGTCCTTCCATCCTACACATTGCATTATGAGAAGCTAATGCTCCAACAAATGCTATAAGGGCATTAATAGGCATAGGGCCACTAATAGGCTTCTAAAAGAAGTTGCTTAGTCTCTGGGCCAAAGATGTGTGAAATATCAGCTCTGCTACACAAACTCTGTCATTTTGCCCTGTAGGAACTGAAACGTGAGCCATGTGTCTGAATGACGTGGGAGCGTCTTCACTGATGATTAAACCGAAGCAAACGCACACAACTTCAAAGCGCTGTGGTCTTCCCTCTCTTGCTCTTACAATGCTCTTGGCGGGGAGCTACTACATTTTAAAAGCTGTTAAATTATATGCTACTCTGATATTCTTTAACAATGCAACCCTTAGGCCCGAAGATTTATGTTTCCCAATGTGATGTGATTCCATCAGCTGGACCTGAGCCTGTTGGAAGTAGGCTACCTTTAAAGACAAGATTACGTTTAGACTATAGAATTGCAGCAGCATTGTGTCTTTCTGTCCCCTGAGGGACAAATGCATGTGACGTTAATTAGCCGATGACTTTATGCAGAGTAAATCACTGGCTGCTGATGAGATCAAATTGCCATTTTGTCAAGAGAAGCTAAACTGTGGGTATTTTCATTAAATTACTATTTTCCTTTTTTTTTTATTTACTTATACAGTAAACTTTTACTTTTAACAGATGCTGCCTTGAGATTTATGACAACTCTCTGATGAGTCTATGAAAATCATGAAGTTTACAGAAGTATGAAGTTATTTCGTTTTAAGAGCTTCCATAATTACTACTGTTCGTCTTACAGAAGACAACAGCTCAGGGAATTTATGCGAGATTATACAAGATGGAATTTTCGCTGACTGTTCATGTTCTTACACACGTACGCATATTTGCCCCAGAGGTTTTTAACTAGAATTTGGAACATCCCTAATTGCATGCCTCAAATATTTCAAGCCAATCCCAGCCTATTCCTGCTTTAAAAAACACCTTAGCATACTGATTCCACTTTTCCCAAATAAATGTAACAAGATATGGAGGTTTAAGGAGCACAGCAGTCTATAAGATGGTCTCCGGTGTCTACATAGTTAAAGGATTTTAACAGTAATTTCTGATAAATGTATGACAGTACTGTGAGTAACCAGAAGATGTCAGTATAAATACACTGTTGATGTTTTTCTCTCACTACAAAGATACTTTATACTCACAATATTTTATAGGCTACGTACTGAATTGAGTCATATTTAATTTCTATTACTTTACTACATTCTCCATCCTTACTATATTATAGAGCTTTAATGTTTACTGCTTTATAAGAACTTAAACCTAATTATGTATAGTATATGCCTTATGTGTTTGCTTTATGTTGTTAGCAAATAAATGTATACATATATAAATATACAATGTATATATGTATAAATTTACCTTGTATATATTGTATTGTATATTTAAGTGACGAATTAGCATAAAAACAGGTTTGAGGATCAGTTGTAAAAAGAGCTGTACAGCAATTTATACAGTAGTTAATGACTGTCACCATGGACTAAAGTACTCCCAAAAATAGGGTACAACAGCTTGTCACTAGGACAGTTCCCTCAAAAGGACATCTTCGTACCTTATTCATCCTCAAATAGTAGTTCTCTAAGGCAGTGATACACACCTTTCAGGAGTAGACAAGGTACAAAGTTGCCCCTTAAAGGGAACTGCCCCAAGTAACAAGCTGTTGTACCCTTAAAGCAGGGGTGTCATACTCAGTTCCTGGAGGGCCACAGTCCTGCAGAGTTTAGCTCTAGCCCTAATTAAACACACCTGAGCCAGCTAATCAAGGTCTTAAGGATTACTAGAAACTTGCAGGCAGGGGTTTTGGAGCTGGTTGGAGCTACACTCTGCAGGGCAGTGGCCCTCCAGGAGCGGAGTTTGACAAATGTGCCCTAAAAGTAAAATTTTTGCGCATTTTTCTGGCAGTAAAGGAATCAAATAAACCCCAGATTAAAAATGATCTCACCACAGTTTGTTGATACTCAGGTGACATCTTAAATGGGTAACAAATGAAAATGCTGTCATAATTTATTCACCCTTGTTGCTCAAAATCCTTTTTCTCTATAGACTACAAGAGGAGATGCATTTTTCCATATAATAAAAGCAAATGGTCACCGGGTGCTGTTAATCTACAAAAAAAAAAAAAGACAAAGACAAAAACAAAAACACACCAGAAATGAAACATAACAGCAGTCCATACAAACCACGCACTAAATTAAATGTCTTCTATGTGATAGCTCTATGTGAGAAACCGACTGAAATTTAAGAGGCAATGATGTTTGCCATTGTTGGTGAAAACCAGGTATTACATGAGCCCTATCTGAATATATATCAAATCAATTTGAGAGCTTCCGTATGAATAATAATATACATTTCTGATTTTTCTGACATCTATTGTATGGCTTCAGAAGACTTGCAATATAGTGTACAAATCATATGGATTACTTTTATGCTTTTGTTGGATATGACACAAATCATATGGATTACTTTTTGTGCTTTTATTGTGCTGGTGTGTGAGGGTGAGTAAATTAAAGAATCCTCAATTTTAGGTGAAATATCCCTTAAACACTCAGAAGAGAGCAGCTGGGCATCTTAAAGGATATTTTACCTAAAACTGAAAATTGATCAATTACTCACCGTCATGTCGTTCCAAACCCATAAGTCTTTTGTTCATCTTTAAAAAACAAATTAAGATATTTTCGAAACCTGAGATTTCTGTCCCTCCAATTGAGGTCATTCCACCAAAACATTGACGCCTCAAAAAGTTCATAAAGACATAAAAGTAATCCATATCAATCGAGCGGTTTAATCCAAGTCTTCTGTAGAGACACAATCGTTTTATTCGGTATGATGAAAAGATTTATTTTAGCCTTTTATTCATAAATAAACAATGATCAGTGTGCATACATTAAATATGGTACACATGGAAGCTGAACCACTCTTGCTTGATGCGCAAGAACAAACCCTTTCAGTGTTTTCATTTTTGGGTGAACTAACCCTTTGAGAAGTACATAGCCTGACACAGACAAACCTTCTATCCCCAAATGTCATATTTAACACATACAAGTGACATTATTTCCTCTAACCTTAAAATAAAATCCATTCACTCAAAACTCTAATATCATCGTCTGGGGCCTGGGGTTTGGACTTTCGCACTCTGAAAATAAATAAGGTCTACGCTTCTCACGTGACGTCTGATTTGATATTCGCTTAAGAATGCATGC